AATTTAAATTAAAATAGGAACTTAATTCCAACCCAAAATTAAACTATTATGAGGTTTATTGGATATTAATATGGAAATGTATTTTGGAGGAAAAAGGAGCCAGGAATAGGCTTATGGGCCAAACTAATAAAATCTGAACTCAAAAATTGAAAATTTAAATGATTTTTAATTAGTTATAATTTATTTAAATATTTTTATTTATTTGATTTAAACTTAATAACCTGATCGATTTTAAATGCGACCAAGAACTACAAATGTAAATTCTTGTATCACTCATCGATCCAACAACATTCATATCATAACTGAAAGAGGAAACTTCATCAAACAACCAATTACTCAGAATTTTCAACATCAAAGTGCCCATCACTTCTTGCTGTACCATCTAAACACAAGCATCTATCAACGACGACAGAGAGCTTGTAGGACAGCAAGATTCTAGAAAGTCACTGATTCACACGAAATTGAGTTTTATAACATTTCTCATTGAGTCCAGTGGAAGTGGCATCCATATAGCTGCAATACTAGTGAGGGAAAGGCCCTGAACCAATAGATGTCACCTTGATTCGGCAGATGGGCGGCGCTATGCAGGGGTGTACACCATCGAAGATATCTATTGGGTTGGAAATATGTGTGCTTGGGACCTATCAAGCCCCATGATTTGATGTTTGGGACCTGCACGGAAGCACCGTGTGCATTCTCCAAAGTCACAGTGATAGTAGAGGTTGTCGGAGCCACACATTGCCCCCCTGTTTTTATATGCAGAGTGTATACACAAAGTCTTTTATGTATGAAAGCAGTTAACAACCATTAAATATAAGATTTGGTCAACTTTATTTTTTCAGATGAAATGTACAAGGGTAAGGAATGAATTATATCAACGATAAAATGGAGTGAGATCTAAATTCCAAGGCATGGAGATAAAGATGAGAGAGGGAATTTTTGAAGGATAAAGGGTATACTTACGTTTGGTGGCCTTCCATAAATTTCTCTGGAGGACTCTCCATAAGCTGTGGCAGAGAAAAATAGGCCTAGCAGGAGGAGCAATGGGAGGTGGCGTATGATTGTCATTTCTCGATTTTTCTTCTCTTAAATTGTGGGTCAACGTTCAAAGAATCGCAATTTGTGTACACTATACATGTGTATATTTATATATAAATATGAAATATGATATGCAGTGGTTTCAAGTAATTTTAACAATATTTTTTTACCTGTAATAATAATATTGCCTGCGCGATTCTTCACTTTCACGGCTATTAATTTTTTTATACACCCACTCCACTTTTAATGTTGTTTTTCGGTTTCTTTTTGGTAAAATTCACTTCCACTGTTATCATTATTTTATTTTAAAAGAAAAAGAAAAATATGATTTGTATTTCTCCAGAAAAAGAAAAACATGATTCACACTAACTCAATATTTTTACATTTTATAGAAAAAAATAATACTCTTGTAGCTCCGTTCTAAAAATCAAAGACACCCTCATCAATTGTAAAATTTAGAATGTAGTGCCGAAACTTTTATTTTTAAATATATGTCTGTATGATAATAGACGATATTATTCAATAGTATATATAATAAAAAATGTTTTCTATGTGTCATGTTACATTACATGTTCAATTATAGTAATAATACTAAATTAATAGTTGAATATATAAAAAGTCTTTGTGCTCTACGACTTCACTCAAATTATATTTTTGGATCCAGAGGAAACTTGTATTTTCAAAATTTTTCCAAATTTAAATGTCCATATTCACCATTAGACTTTATACTCACATGATTATTGCTGGTACCTAGT